TTGTAATTCTTGAATTAAATCAGGAGTGATTTCTTCCATATATTCGTCTGGTAAATCCTATTGTCTGGAAGCAGATAACATATGAATTGAACTGCTACCTTTATGGGGTACTTTCCCTAAATGAAGATTTGACATCTTTTTAAGAAGAGTTTCCATGAATTCACTATCGTGTTTGTCAGATCGTAGCTTAAAATTAGTTACTTCTAAAGGTGGTTTGATATTAACAGGTTGAAGTGATAATTCTGGAGTAACCAATTGTCTATCTTTAAAATGATCAATTGATTTTTCAATTCGGGTTAATTGTTTTCCAACTGTTTGGAAATATAGATTAGTGTAATTATTTTGTTTCATAATAGGAACGAGGTCTTTAAGTTGAGTAACCTCTTTGTGGGGTGCTCTTGCTAGTAATTTCACATAAGCAGTGGTGAGTAACTATTGTAAAGTAGTATCTCCATTAGGAGCTAATTCTAAGGATTGAGGAGTCGGATGAATAGACAATACTGTTTGTCCATTTATTGTAGTCCAAGTTTTTTGGATATTTGTTAATACGTTAACTTGTTGTTCAGGAACTATTTCCATAACTGTTGCAAATTCATAATACCATTCTGGAAATGGTGTTAAGATTTGATATTTTTCAAGATGGTAATAATATTGATTTTTAAAATACTGAAGTTGTTGGTCATTATGATTTGCAAAATACCAACTTCTAAATTCCTAGTATTTAGTCTGCATAAATTCTTGGTTTAATTGTCTTCTTATTTCACTTCTTGGAGTATAATCCATTAAATTTCAAAATTCATATCACTAGTTGTTGTATTCTCAGGTCTTCTGGTTTCATAAATACCATGAGGTATTTGATTTTCTGATATTTGGACTCCTTGGACTATAGGATCTACAAAAGGATTGCTTGGTGGCCTACTAGGTGGTCTAGAAGGCATTCCTTGCATAACTGATTCAACGGGTTCAGATACTGACTGTCGGGATGATTCTGGAAGGTCAACCCTATATGGTAGATTTGACCTAATACTTGTAGTAGACATACTTCTGGTATGTAAAGTTTTTTTGAAATTGAGGTAAACATGACCTCCTTGGGTTTGAACAACTTGGTCTATAGTTTGCCTGACTATTGATCTTGCTGGTACAGCATTTGGAATATGCCGTGATTCTGGAAATGTAATATTTTGCCATGGAATCATTGTGGGTATGGAAACTTTGCTACTGTATAGGTTTGTGCCAATCAGAACAGTTTGTCCTTATTCACTTTGCTTTCTAATGTAGGGATTTAAAGTAGTAAGAACCTTCAAATATATTCTGTAGATGACTGTTAAAGGCGGACTTCCTGCTATATATTGATAACCATTTGTAAGAACTCTGAGTTCTAATACTTCTGATAAATTTGGATCCATTAATGCTACACTTAAGATTTGATAAACATTAAAATATATTGGTCCATGAGAAAGACCGGTTTCTATGGCTCCCATAAGAGATGCTTTCTAGTCAAGACATCTTCCATCTCTAAGGGTAAATTGGATATTGGTATTTTGTCCTAATAGGGTTAAAGGTTTTAATGCAATTTCCTATATGGATATATTTATGCTTTCTAAAGAAAGGTGCTAAATCCTGGATTTGAAGTAATCCAAAATATATTTGTACTTTAATATATTTGGGAAAAAATATTTTAAAAAAATTAACAAATACATAAAAATATGAAAAATATATTGAATTTTTGTATTTTTTTGCATTTTTTATTTTTGGTATTTAGTGAATTTTTTAAAAGATTTTTTTCACAAGAATTCTACGTTTAAAGTGTATTTATGTTAGGTGTGTTTAAAAATTAAAAAATACTTAAAATATTAAAAAAATTTAGTGAAAACAAAAAAGTACAAAAAATAAAAAAGTAAAATTTTCTAAAAAATATTTTCTGAAAATCAAAACCAAGCAGGATGAATACTTTTAAATTTATTAATATTGACGTGACCAATGTTTAACAGGGGTTAAGCATATTTTGGTTCACAAAGTAAATTGGACCGTGTTGTTCGGGATTATGAGACTCATTACAAGTTCTGTCTTGATGATTAAAATCGTTCAATTTTTAGATTACAACGTGTAAATCATTTATAAAAAAATCAAGTCGATATAATAATTGTAACATTTTTATTTTATCACATTTTTCTTCGAAAAAATGTGGGCCGTTTTTTTTTTAAAATAAATACTAACAAAAACAAAAACGAAAACAAAAAGATTATGATTATGTAATCAACCTAATTTGTTTAATAAATATTATATATGGAGGTTTGTACAAAATAAGACTTGTAATGAGTCCAACAAATCTTTCAAATTTTCTAAAGTTGAAATTTAAATTTGAAAAATCCAACCATTTTTTAAAGGGTTGGATTTCACTCAAATCCATGATTTGAACTAGATAGTGTTGTTCGAGCCAATGGCGCCACTATACATTTTGATAATTTGTATTGTTCATTTTGTAAAGCCTTTGTGTATATTATTCACATAAAAAATTAGGTTGATTCAATAATCATAATTTATTCGATTTATTGTATTTATCTAAAAATAATAGCAAGTGTACTTTTAAAAACAGACCACCTATTTTTTATGATAAAATTGATAAATTAAACATGTTATGATTGTAGAATCAATCTAATTTTTTGTATGAATGATATACACGAATGCTCTTACAAACAAACAATTTGAATCATAAAAAAAAAAAAAATCCATGGTAGATCCCATAAATCCAAATAACACCCTCTTATCCATCTAGATTGGAGAGAATCTTGACTACTTTCTTTAACCGTGTTTGGATTATGAATTTGGGTAGAAATTTAAAAAGAAAAAAAGAAAAATATAAATAAACTATAAATGAAATATAATTTATTTTATCTACACTTTATTTACTTTTTTTTTCTTTTTATTTTTAAACTCATAATCAAATTTATAATCCAAACAAAAAAATAAACGTTTGGTGTGAATACTAGCTGAAAGTTAGGAATATATAAGAACACTCAATTTTATTAAATTTTAGGATAATTATAAATATATTTTCTGAAATTTATTTAGAATACGAATTGCTCCATATAATTCTAGAAATTACATTTCACCTCTTGAAGTTTTGAATTTCACAACAAATGACTAATCATAAAGTCAATTAACAATTTTAAATGATATATAAAATTTATTTTAATTAATAATTCTGATAATTTTATTATTGTATAAAAGAATAACTAAATTTTTTATTTTTCAATTAATTAAATAAAAAATTATGACAAAAAATATTCATCATTTTTCAAGACAATTCAAATTTTAATTAAATTTCAAAAATATATTCGTAATAATATTTTTTGGACCTTCAAGTCTCATTAAATTTTTAAAAATCGGAATTGCTCTTTAAACAATGATTGTTCATCATTTAATTATATGTAAAAGAACATGATGATTTGATATTTATTTTGATTTTCAAAACTTTATTAACTTTCAAATTGAAAAAATTGAATTATTTTTTTTTACAAAACTGAAAACTTTGTATCTATAAAGGAGCATGATAATAGAACATTGACGTGCAAAATTAAAAAAATAAAATAAAAATGAAACTGATAATGTACTCAGTTTTAAAACTGAAAAAATTGTTAATGTTCTCGGTTTTATTAGATAGTTGAATTAAACTAATAAGTAGAAGGGCAAAAACATTTAGGCCAAGTTTGGGAACACCCCAAAAATCCAAAAAGCCAAAAAGTTACTCAAAAAGTTAAAAAGTTATCACTATTCACCAAAAGTCAACAATTACGGCTGCACAACTCCCAATTCTAATTGTATCTATAAAGGAGCATGATAATAGAACATTGACGTGCAAAATTAAAAAAATAAAATAAAAATGAAACTGATAATGTACTCAGTTTTAAAACTGAAAAAATTGTTAATGTTCTCGGTTTTATTAGATAGTTGAATTAAACTAATAAGTAGAAGGGCAAAAACATTTAATCTCATGTTTTGTTTTTTTTTTTTTCATTAGTTAGTGAAACAATTATATGGAACATTACTATGCAAAATTGATAATATTCTTAGTTTTAAAATTTAGAAAAATTGATAATATTCTTAATTTTACTAAATATGACTTATTAATTTAAAAAATCTTAAACAAAATTTGAACTATTATAACATTTGTAAATAAAATTTTTAAGAAATTAACTCTATTTATAATTCATCTTAAATTTTAAATGACCAGCCATAAAGCCCATGTATTAATATGGATTGTTCTTGTCACAAATGCACTACAAAAGATTATAGGAGTGTTTGGGAAAAGATTTCGTGGATTTGGTTTCAGTTTTCTGAAAATTATATATTTTTTTATTTTTTGTATTTTTTATTTTAGTAAATATTTTTTTAAATTTTAAGTATTTTTTTTATTTTTTTAGATGTACCTTATTTAGATGTATATAAATAATAAAATATTTGTGAAAATATTTAAAAAAATTAATAAATACACAAAAATTCAAAAAAATACTAAATTGTCATATTTTTTTTAAAATATTTTTTGGTAATTAGTGTATTTTTTAAAGATTTTTTTGACAAATATTATATTTTTTAAGTGTATATATGCTAAGCATATCTAAAAATTAAAAAAAATTTCGTAAAATAAAAAATAAATCATTGAAAACATTAAAACACGAAAAAAAAGAGTAAAATTTTTTGAAAATCAAAACCAAATAAGCTAATTTTTATTTTTATTTTTTAAGCTAAAATTTATAAAAAGATAAAATATTATATTAAATTTATAATTATTTCATTTTTTATTTTGTAAACATCATATCAAATTATAAAAAAATTCAATTCCTTCCCTAAATATAAATATTTTAATTTATTAAAATAATCAAAAATTAAAATAACTGCTAAAATATTCACCGAAGCGTATATGACATTTTCGTATATGACATTTTTGTAGACAAAGGTATCTGGGTATGAAAAGTAACGCTCGCGTGAAACCGAAGTTGGAGAGGGAGAGAGAGAGAGAGAGAGGGAGATAGAGATAGATAGAGGGGGAGAGGGAGAGAGAGAGAGAGAGAGAGGTGTCTCTTTCTTCGCAGTTCTAAGGGCTTCTCAAGGCTTCCTCTCGGAGACTCCGTCGTTTTTGAACAGTTTCTTCATTCATTCATTCTATACATACATATATACAGACTTGTAGTTTACTCTGTTTGAAATTGTTTTTCATTTTCGAGATATGATGGTTCAGAGGAGAGTGATGAGTTGGAGGAGAGTTGCCAAGGCTCTACAAGCTGCGGCGGCACATGGATTGCTCTTCTTTTTCACGCTCTCTCTCGCTCTCAAGCTCGATCATGTCGTGTCTCGCTCTTGGTGGTTCGTATCAATTTTTGTTTTTCTTTCAATATCTCTGCAATTTTCTTTTCAACCTATGTTTGGTATCTGAGAAAATTAAATTAAATAAAAGTCTATGTAGAATACTGATTTAAATTTGTCAATCTCTTATGGAATTTGTAGTTGAAGTTTGTATGTAACTGTTGTTATTAATTTTGAAACATCTGCAAATCCCATGAAAATTCTACTGGTTCAAATGTGGATTCTATAGAAATTTACTTTTTTTCTTTTGTTCTTGCCGTTTATTGCTTCCTATTTTGGTACATTTTAATTTTGATTTTTTTTTTCTAGCCCCCTTTTTTTTTTAATTTTTGGGCGACTTTCCTAGACATTACTTGGGTTAATTTGAAATGTTAAAGTATGTGTTATGAAGATTTTTCCATTGGTAGAGTTCTATGAAGCAAAGATCCTTCAACAAATATGCCGTACTTGTACTTACCGGTGTAGGGTCAGCATAATATACGAAACATGTACTTAATTTTTACCATATCCAGACATACATAGTATATATCCAAGTATCTGAAATAATATTTTCTTCTACTATATAAATCAAATTCCTTTCACTAGATTTTCTTTTTATTTTTATTTTTAGCTTTATGCTTACCATGATTGTAAAATTAAGCTATAGTTGGTAAGTTATTTAATATAATGACATATAATTTTGATTTATACCTTTCTTTTTTGGCATTAAATGTTAATTGTAGGTGGGATCTTTAACAAATTAAACCATTTAATCAATTTTGCATTACTCCAAATTAACAATAAATATTTTTTTTACAAACGTACCAAGTTGTACCGGTACTTTTACCTTTTTTTTGGATTTTACCTTATTGATGTACCTGTACCCCTTACCATAGGTAGAGTTTTACTTTTGGTCGTAGTTGACTCAATTGAAGATTATAGTAATCTTTTTCTTCTTCTTTTATTTTGTTTTTTCAATTTATTTTTTGTAGTGATGATGCCAAAGGTTTCAATTTTAATTGGGTAAATTGCTTTTAATTCTTAGGTAAGTAGGCTTATTTGTTGTTCTATTCATTTTCAGCTTTTGATTCTTGACTTTTGAAAATGAAAATGACAGAATTTTTTGAAGAACAGTTGTTTTAGCCTCATCTTTTTTATTTTCTGAGTTTTTTTTTCTTACTTATTAAAAAAATCTAGAAATCTGTTCAAAATGGTTTCCTCCAAATGGCGTTCTCTGTTTTGTTCTTATCTTTTCTTCTTTCGAGAACAGATAAGGTTTCAAAAATGATACCAAACTGGCCACTGACAATTCTTAGTTTAGAGAGCAAGTTACTTTTGGTATAATTTTTTTGACCTTGTTCAATGTTCATGAACAAATGTTGATGTACTTATTGAAATTGTCACACTATACTAAACAGACCATTGTCAATTTTATGTTTGGAGAACAAGTTACAATTGGTAATAAGTTTTGATCTTATTTGATGTTCATATACAAATGTTGATGTGTTTATGAAAATTTCATGTTTTTTGATGGTTAAGTGTCTTCTTGTTTGAGTTGATATGGTTGTAGATAGAATTTTCAAGATAAGCTTCACAATTTAGTATTTAAGACACTACCTTACAAATGTATGACATTAGGCAACTAACATATTTCTCTGATAGCACAGAGGAATAATTACTTTGTTCCCATATCAAGGTTCTAGAAGAATAATCTTCAAACTTTGATAACCAATACATATATGCTTGATTTTTGATATGCTCTTCTCTGTGTGTGTGTGTGTGGCAAATCACATTCCTCCAATTACAAACAATGCCCAATAGGATTATGACATAAATCAGTTACAAGGGTCAACACGTTTCCATTAAGAAGCATGTGGATACGTGTTGCTGTTTTATGTAAATTCACAACCTATATGCTCTATAGGTAATACGGTTCCTGCAAGTAAGCCTCAACTTAATTAGGTCATATCATGTATAACATTTTTATGGTTAAAAACATTTATGAACTTGCAAAGAGGTCTATAATGTTCTTTTTGTTAATCAGTTTGCACCTTTTATGGAGCTCTTTAAAATTTGTGGTTTACTTTTATGGATGAGTTGATGAGAAATATTCAGGATGATGTGCCATGGTATATGCTTTTTGCAGATGATATTGTGTTAGCGGATGAGACTAGAGAATGAGTTAACACTAAGTTAGAGACTTGGAGAGAAATACTTGAATCTAAAGGATTTAGGATAAGTAGAACTAAGACAGAGTATATAGAATGTAATTTTAGTAATACTAACAATGGAAGCAGAGGAGAAGTGAAGATTAAGAGTCAAGAACTACTTAAGAGTGAATATTTTCATTATTTAGGATCGATTATCATAACTGCTGGAGAGATTGGAGCGAATGTGGTCCATAAGATTAAGGCGGGGTGGCTTAAGTGGCGGAGTGCGTCTAGGGTATTGTGCGATAAACAAGTACCCATTAGATTAAAAGGGAAGTTCTATAGAACGGCTATTAGACCAGCGATGTTGTTTGGATTGGAATGTTGGGTTACTAAGAAACAACATGTAGATAAGATGAGTGTTACTGAGATGAGGATGCTAAGGTGGATGTGTAGCAAGACTAGAAAAGATAGAGTTAGGAATGAGTATATTCGAGAATGGGTATGAGTAGTACCGATAGAAGATAAGTTGAGAGAGGATAGATTGAGGTGGTTTGGTCATATACAACAGAGATCAATAGAGGCAGTGGTGAAGAGATGTGATATAGGGACAATAGATGAAAGTGTTAGGAGAAAGGGTAGACCTAAATTGACATGGACTAGTGTAGTAAATAGAGATATGAACCTCCTTAATTTGACTAACGAAATGGCTTTAGATAGAGTCTAGTGGAGAAGAAGGATTCAGGTAGTCGACTCCATTTGATGCGACTTAAGGCTTGGCTTGGTTTGGTTTGGTTTAGTTTAATATATCCTATGTGGGTCATACGTGGGAGAGAAACTTTCTTCTCTTCTCAAGTTTAACTAACTTTTGCTTTTGGTTAATCTTGCAGGACTATTTTTACTCCTCTGTGGTTATTTCATGTGGTTTTAGCACGTGGCAGATTTTCCTTACCTGCTCCATCAATGCCTCATGATCGCCGGGTACAAACAATATATCCAACTTGTTATTGTCCTGCTCTTTTGAAAATGCATAATTTCGTTCCATAACGCATGTATAAGGATGCGCGAGCAGAGATAAGTGTGCTAAAGGCAGAAAACAAGGAGCTGAAGCGGAAGGCCACCGCGATGTTCCGATTTGGAGGTCCACCATATGCTGCAGTGGAGGAGCAGGGAGTAGTGATCGTGCCCAGTGGAGTGGGAAACACGGAGGCAACACCGGCAAGGACCGCCCAGGACGGAGGCAAGAAGAAAAGACCGGCGGCAGAGTAGAGAAGGGAAAAATCCCACAGTGGATGTGGTTGTGTTGTTTTTTTTTGTTTTTTTGTTTTTTGTTTTTTGTTTTTTTATGTTTTTTTTTTTTTATTTTTTGTTTTTGTTGACCGGGGTTGATCCCCGGCATGAAGAAATGACAAGTGTGTGGAATGTTGGTGGTGTTATTTTGTGTTGTTGTTTGGTTTAATAAAAAAATAAAATAAAATAAAACAATGGAGAAAGAAAATAGATAAAAATATGTGTGGATGGGTCATATGAAAAACATCGGTGTGATAGGTTTTTTTTTTTTTTTTTTTGAGAAAATAAATAAAAATAATGGAGTTGGAAATCAAACGGAGGAGAGCACCAATTAAGTTTTATAATAAAAAATAAAAAGGTCGGGAAAGTTAAAGTAAGAAAAAATAAATAAAAAAAGAAAAGGTGAGATTCAAATATCTATACAAGAAAAGGTGAGATTCAGAATATATATATATATATTTTTATTGGTATTTATTTTCATTTATTTATTTATTTTGTGTGTTTTGTTGTTTTATTTTATTTTATTTTATATTTTGTTTGTTTTTGTTGGGGGAAGTGAATGTGTGAAACCGTGCGAATGGTTCACATGAGGCTGTCTCCCTTGTGTGATAAAATAATAAAAAGAAAGTTGGGTGTGTTGTGTAGCTCCAAAAAAATGTTGTCTGTCATCTCAAAATGTAACCCATTAACAGAGGCTAAAAGGCCACGCTCTGTTACGGGTGCAGGCTGCTCTTGATAAGGGTATGAACTCGGATAGGAATGAAACGTCGGATGAAGATACAAGTCTCAGGGATTGGAATCTGTTGAGTCAGAGGTATCTCAGTTGCTATCTCGGCAAATACTGCTGTGGTTGCACCTCCCTCAAACTCAACACAATGTTCAACTCCTTCAGATCCTGTTTCAGATATTGATAAAAAAAATTAGAGCACTAGAACCCTCTTCAATAATCCTCATCCTCACGACCTCCCTTGCGTGGGCTCGAATCTGAAGGGTGGTGTCGTGGCCGTGGACAACCAAGGAGGCGGAGACGACAAAGGAGGTAGTTGCGAGACTGGTATTGACGAAATGGGTTTCAAAAAGAAAGTGAAATTGGGGCTTTTTTTTTTTTGAGAAGTGATGAGTTGTTCTGTCAAAGAGTGTGGCGAAGTGTTTGTGGAAATGTTCAGCCGAAGCAGAATGTGATGTTTTGAAGAAACAGAGAGAGAGTCGGAAAGGTCAGGGTAGCCCATGTTGTGGATCAACATGTGACGCTTCGGCGAACTCCGAATCAAAACAGCGGGAGAGAAGGTATGTGTAGAGGTCCGGCGGGCGGCCAAGGCGAGGCTGCCGCCCGCCGGTGAAGCGAGAAATACGAAGGTCTTAACCTTGCTCTGATACCATGTAAAATATATTGATAGAGATAAATTGTATGTATTAGTCATATACAACAGAGATCAATAGAGGCAGTGGTGAAGAGATGTGATATAGGGACAATAGATGAAAGTGTTAGGAGAAAGGGTAGACCTAAATTGACATGGACTAGTGTAGTAAATAGAGATATGAACCTCCTTAATTTGACTAACGAAATGGCTTTAGATAGAGTCTAGTGGAGAAGAAGGATTCAGGTAGTCGACTCCATTTGATGCGACTTAAGGCTTGGCTTGGTTTGGTTTGGTTTAGTTTAATATATCCTATGTGGGTCATACGTGGGAGAGAAACTTTCTTCTCTTCTCAAGTTTAACTAGCTTTTGCTTTTGGTTAATCTTGCAGGACTATTTTTACTCCTCTGTGGTTATTTCATGTGGTTTTAGCACGTGGCAGATTTTCCTTACCTGCTCCATCAATGCCTCATGATCGCCGGGTACAAACAATATATCCAACTTGTTATTGTCCTGCTCTTTTGAAAATGCATAATTTCGTTCCATAAGTTATTATAATAATGGGAAATTACACTCTTGCATGAACAGTGGGCGCCATTTCATGCTGTCATGGCTATGCCGTTGCTTGTTGCTTTTGAGCTACTCCTATGTATATATCTTGAGAGCAGTTATGGTACACAGGCAAAACCCTATTAATATAATCATCAATGCATCTTATTTGAAATAAGATTGAATATATTTGTTATTTTTTCTTTTAATTATTATCACATTGATACTTTTGCTCAATGCTTATAATGCTCATTTGTTTTTCATTTCATAAGCTTTGTACCCTGTTATGTACCTTCTTAAATGCATTGTCTGCTAACTAGGCTAATTACCTATCTTGGTCATTGTTTAACTGTTCAAACCTTTCTGACTAGTTTTATTTATGAATTGTATGTATTGTAGCCATAAGCTTGAAGATTGCCTTTTTGCCCTTGTTGGCATTTGAAGTTGCAATTTTGATTGACAATGTTACGTAAGTTTTTGTCCTCCACTGAGTAGATCACTGTATATTGGTTTTCAGAGCTACCAAATGTGAAACAATCTTAAGATGTACTTTAAAGTAACTGCCATTATAGAATTTATGCATTATGTTAAGTAGATGAGGTATCTTCAATATATGACTTCAAAATATATATTAATTTGTGTCATTGACTTGACTATTTTTAACAAATTGTGCTTCAGCCTTAATAATTGATTGTTACTTATTTAGGATGTGTAGGGCTCTAATGCCTGGAGATGAAGAAATAATGAGTGATGAAGCAATATGGGAGACCCTTCCTGTAAGCGCATAATTAGGTTCTACTCATTAGATTTTTGTTTTTCTTTCAATTATGCTGTACTCTAAAGTTTGGCTTAGTAGATGCTAAAATTATAATTTATCTAGAGGCAGGTGCTTGAGAGCTTGATTAGGGTGCCTCCAGGTGGCATGTGCTGGCCATGAAAAAAATTTAAATACCTACATTTTCTTGTTGGCACCCACATGTTAAAGTTCAATCAGAGCAAAAAATATAAGAAGCATGCATTAACTATCTAAAGAAATCATGAAAGGTTGAAGTATGGGATTTCGAGCATTGCAGAGCTTCCATATAGTTCTATCATTCACAAAATTAACCATTTAAGTGATGTTCTTTACTTTTGAAAAGGAAAAAAATAAGTCAAACTTGTTGATTTAGCCCTTTGCCAACAAAATTTTATTTACGTTGTGATTCATATATATACTAGCGTATGCCCGTGCCTAAAGGCACGGTATAAATAATTTTAAGATTAAAATGCAGTTATAATTTATACGTATTATGTTGAAATTTAAAAAGTTTGTGTCATTTTTTGATAAAGATATTGAAATATTTTTCTTCTTAAAGTTTGTGTCAATTTTGCTTGTATTACACGCTGTACAAAACTTAAATAAAATAACAACTCCCCCTAATCATATAGACAGAATATATGAAGAAACTAAAAAAATATAAAATGTTTGAGATTCAAAGCAAACATTCTCTCATAATCCCGTCATTGTCTAGAGGCATTGATATAACTTAAAAAAGTCTTAGTGTAAATAACTTAAAAATTATTAACATGATATTATTTGGTGTTGACGGTACATTGTTTGGTTCTGTAACTTAATTAATGGTTGAATATTGGGAAGTAAACACAATGTGTATAACTTTACCATTAAGGAGGAAAGGAGGTTACACAAAATATTGACCAAAAATAGCTTGAATTACTAATGAAAAGCTTTTATTTCCATGAAGTTTTAATGGAAAGATACATGCCTTATTTTACCATTTCCCAAAAAGCTTTCTTGATTACTAATGAAAAAGCAATCATAAGTTTTTATTTCCATGAAGTTAATATTCGACAGCGGGAATTCAAAAAATGTAACCCAACACATTGAAAATACAATGGAAAATACTAACCCAACACACTAAGAGAAAGGAGAAGAGACAAAAATTGGTAGCAAATGTTTTTTTCCAAAATATACAAAATATTTTTGGCCAATATACAAAATATTAGCCAAAATATTTGCCCTATTTTTTATTCACTGGATTACTGGACTTTTTTAATTATAAACAAATGTTATTTTATTCTCTCATAATCCCCTCATTTTCACAACAGAGACATTTATATAATTAAAATTGGAGATGAATACTTATTTTCAATCCCCTCAAAACAGAGGCATTTATTTTCAAAACAGAGGCATTTTCACTGCAGTTATTTTCAAAATTGGAGGCATTTTTTATTTTTTTATTTTGTGTGTAAACTCTTTATTAATATTAATATTAAGTAAACACAAAATAAGAAGACCGAGTAACTTTTAAAGAGAAGTTGCAATAGTTTTTAACAAAAAAATCATATAGAGAGAATTTTAAAAACTTAAAAATAACTTAAAAATTAAAAAGTATTAACATGACTTTGAAAAAAAGGAGTTGTTATGGGTTTGTTTGATAACTATTCCATTTTTAGTTTTCAGTTTATATTTACAAAAATTTTAAAAATTGTCATAAAAACTTGTTTGATAATTTTTTTTGGTTTATAAATGGTTTTCTCAGTTTATAAATTTTTTTTCCTGTAGTTTGAAAACCAAAATATCAAACCCTTAAATCATTTCAAATTCAACCAAAGATTTGTCTATTTTACCATGTCCAAAGTCAAATGTACTGTAAATATACCATGGACAACAAATCACTACGCATTTTTATGTCGAGGGAATAATGACTAAGTAAGAAAAATTCCCTAAATTATCAAACTTATTCAAGACTAAAATTCCAGGAGGTTTGCTCCCTCCCAGGTCTCAAGTTCGAATCCCTTAACCAGCAAATGCATGCCTTGGGGCTACGGACCGCAGGGCGTAAGCCTTGTTTCGAAAGCCTTGTTCGGGCTGTAGCGACTTAGTCTGGTGTGCGTAAGATGGCCCAAGATACCCTACATAACAAAAAAAAGAAAAAAAAAATATCCCGGAGATTCTGAAAAGTGTGCTGTCTGATAATACATTATTTCAGGTTGCCTAACACAAATTAATTAAATTTTTTCTTTATTGAGCTAATTATTCCTTTAAGAATTGGAAGGATGGCGCTTATTAGAAAGATGGAATCATTAGAACTAGTTAGAGGTGTGTGAATCTATGTTACATGGACTCGAATATGGGTATTGGGTGCGGGTGCGCAATTAAAGGTCGAATCCATCAAACCTCAAATTTAAGAATATATGGACTTAGCTAAAAAAGGGTCATATTTTTATGTTTTTAGTCAATACATGTGAGATAAAATGGTGTTACAATAATATATATAATCAATACAGTGTCAAAAAGACAGTTTACCAATTTTATAGCAATTATACAATAATATATAATGATATTGTTAAATACAAATATATAAGAAATATCCGATGGAAAGTATCGGACACATATTCCACATCCTTGTCCAGGTGTCGGGTGTCCGACATGGGTATTTGATTTATTTTGAATAGTCCATGTAACATAGGTGTGGATTGCCCTTTTCCAACCATGGGTAGATATAATTATCTTCTTGGAAGAATTTGTTATAAAAGCAATCATAAAATGTATTTGCATTTTGTACAGTTGTATTACAAGAATCATACTATAGTGAAAAAGGTATTTTCTTTTTGTAATGAAGAAGTATTGAAGTGGCTTAGAAAAGTAATTTTTATTTAAAATTGTTACTACTACCAGTATCAATGATTTAATTATTCAAAATGATCATATAATTTCTTGAATGGGAAGAAAGATGGTAGAACATTTAAAAGCATTCTTAGTTCAGTAATTAAAGAAACCAAACCTGGAATACAATCTTCCTTATGTTTCTTTTTGACTAATAAAAAAAAGAAGAAGAGAGAATCCTCATGTTTCTTTTTTCTTGTTATTTTCATTTTTCTATTCAAAATCTGAATAAACAATTACTCAAATTAGAATGTAAGGGGGAAAAAAAGACTTAAGACTCAGTGTTTAATTAGATCCAAGAGCGAAGGAGGTAGCTAAACAGTATATAGGGACTAATATTACCTTTTCAACTTGCATAGTTTAATGTGATGATGGCTCATGAATCAAAGGTCATACCTTCAACTCTCCCTGGGATTCCTCCTATCATGTGGTTTGTAGGTGACTGCTTCTATCCTTATAGACTAGTCTAGACAAAAAATAGGTTGTGGACACCCTGATTAACATAACCAAAAAACAATAATAATTAATAAATTATTCGCACATGTTGAGACTGCTTCATGAATTCTTTTACTTTTTTTGCAATGCTGTTTAGTACATTTTGATATCCTTTGAAACTCATTATTTATGAATATAAAGTTGTTAAATTAACTGCGTTTATTATCTTGATATCCCTTGGCAGTTGTTGACACGAAGTTGTCAATGTTTGTTTTCAGCACTTTTGGGTTGCAATCTCAATGGTCTTCTTAATTGCTGCGACAGCATTTACTCTTCTAAAGCTATGTGGTAAGTTGTTATCTTGCAAAAATATTTAAAATTCTTCGGCCTTGAGACCTTTTTTCATCTGCATTAAACTTGTGGCATAGTTTTCCAAATTTTGGTTTTTTATAGTACCACTGTTTTAAAACTCTTTTTTATTTTTGGATAGTCCATAGTCCATAGTCCATAGTTTCTAAACACCATTCTGTTGAAGACCAAGCAAACATATCTCATGTTGTTCACTATTATCATTATTATTATTATTATTATTATTATTATTGATCAGCGTGTAATTCCCTAAAATCCACGAAGTACGATTGACTGAGTTTCCTTGTAATGTGTGCAGGTGATGTGACTGCTCTTGGTTGGTGGGATTTATTTATTAATTATGGGTATTTTTTTTTTTTTGTTGTTTCGTGATTTGTGATTTCTCTTCTGCCTTTTGTTGTTGAAATGATATTGTACATTCTTTCACAGTATTGCAGAGTGCTTTGCCTTTCTTATCTGCACAAAGTGGTATAATCCTGCTATTCATAGGCATTCTCACCTTAGAGATGTTGGTTCATCTTCAACAACCATTAGATATCTTGACTGGAATAGTGGCTTGATGGTTTCTATGGATGAAGATCAGCAGCAGGGTAGAATATGCAGCTTGCAAGACATCGGTGGGCATATTATGAAAATTCCATTCATTGGTTTTCAAATCCTGCTTTTTATGCGGCTAGAGGTAAAATAAGGTTTGAGTGGTACTTAGTTATGCATAAATTCAGATGTCATAATTTTTCACTCATCCTTAGTACTTTCTGATTCTAGGGAACACCGCTTAGAGCTAGAGAAGTCCCTATTTCAGTTATCTTTTCTCCTCTTTTGTTGCTACAAGGAGTGGGGGTTCTGTTTGCTATCTACAGATTTATTGAAAAGATTGTTCTTTTACTACATAGTGGAGCTGGTACAGAAAGATATTTTAGAATATCTTTGAGGGTTCGTGATTGCTTTGGGTTCATGTTCCACGGATCAAGGTAATTGCTGTAAAATCTAGATGAGCAATAGCTGATCCTTCCAGAAACAATACAAACTATTAAAACTGACATGTAGTGGTAATTTTATTGTTTATTGATGATTGCTTTTCATAACAGATTACTGGGTTGGTGGTCAATTGATGAAGGAAGTCAAAAGGAACAGGCTCAACTTTATTATGATGGGGCATCTGGGTCAGTTTTAACTGTATTATTGCTGTGAGATTAATCTAATACCAATCTTTTGGTGCTTGTATGTTGGAGCAATCTTACAGTTGCTTTAGGATTTCTCTATTTGGAATTCTTAAGGTCCAATTGAACTTGGTAGTTAAACATTTAACCATAATGCATTCATGCAAGTTAGAGTTATTTTACCATGTAAAACACAACTAAGAGGCTAGTGTGTTTACTAGTGAAAGGAGTTGGAACTTTTTCCATTGGTTGGTATAGGAAATTTATTCTGTCTATCGTACTCGAAGAGCTTAGTTGTTAGTCCCTCTGTGCCTTATTTGGCTCATTAAACAAGAGGACCTTTCAAGGAGTGGAGGGACCTCTGTAGAAATAAGAGTTTCTTTTTAGCCATTTTGTACAGTTGGATTTCGCAAATGTTTTCCAAATATTTATTATATTGTAGATTTTGTTGATAGTCTTAAGAAGTGTATATGCCTTTCTTTTTTTTGGTTTGATCAGTGAAGGTTATCATGGTTTAACCTCTTTTTATACGTGGAAAGCATCCTCTGTTGATGGTTTCTAATAGAAGTTTCTTTACTTCAAAAAAAAGAAACTGATTCTGTTATTACTTATCTGCAGTTGCAGAGGCTGTAGTTCTGCCATTTTGGATTTGATAGAGGATGCTATCCTAATTCTGCAATGATGGAAAAAAACCACAAAAAACTGTTAATGTTTTGTTTTGTAGCTAGCTAGTCAGTATTGAGATTGGTTTGACCACTTCCTCTATGATACCAAAGGAACTTTTTTTTTTCTCCCCCCATTGCACATGCACATTCAAACCTTTATTACATTTCTTTTTCATCATTGTTGAGTTGACTTAGTTTACTTAATAGTACTAGCAAGAATTACCTAAGCAAATTGTAGACAGGCAATATCACACCTTACTGGTGGAGTTTTCAAATGCTAGTGGTAGTGAGGTCCTATATGATTCCTGAAAGGAGCAAGAGTTATCTAATGCTGATGCCCTTTTAGATTCCATAAGCTAACTAAGTCATGAATGAAAAGTGAAATCTGTTGCAGGGGTGGCCTAAATAAGCTGTTTGACTCCCCATGAATTAAGTCTAGGAAATGACATTGGAATGGGTGTTTGTACTCTTGGCCAGAAATAAATCAGTACTTTGTATCAATTTATAGGGTGTGCTTGCCTAGTAATTTACTTGTCTGGATTTCGTTTGGGCTTATCAAAATGTGCATTTTTTAGCGATGTTTTCAATAGCTGTTGCTACAAATTTAATGCACTATATGTTGTTTGATATTCATGTTGGTACACATTTAATGCACCATATCAATTAATAGTTTCTGATTTTTGTTTGAAATATTCTTTACTAACCAGGTACAACACTTTCTCACCTGATATTGTGAAGAAAATGCCTAAATCAGATCTTGCTGAGGAGGTAAACCAAATTTTTTGTTATTTCATTCATGTTGGCTACTGTTCTATGTTTTGTTTTTGCTTCCTGTAATTGTGTTTCATCAATTGTTTCTACTTTTAGGCTAACTTATTAATTAGCACTGGATTAATTTCAAAATTATTCTATCCTATCTTTATTCCTCATAAGGCATGTTTGATTAGTAGGATTATAGCATAGGATTGGGATTGTTAGTCCATGGACTCACAATTCTATATTTTGTTGCAAAATTTATTAACTGGATTACGTGTACGGTGGACATTCAATCCGAAAAAATTGGTGAATTTTTAATATTGAGAGGGGTTGGGAATCGTAATTTCAAGTATGAAAGAAAAAAAAACAAAATGAACACATAATAAATGGTTATCTCTCTAATTTAATTGGGTAATTATGAGATTATTCATCATTTCACTATTAATCCTCTTTGTTAGTGAATATTGTATTTATAGTAATATATGTCGTATATATATTATTCCATTGTAACTTTACCTTCGATGGTTTGCTACCTAGTTTAGGTTTTCCTTACATAATTCTCTCCCTACAATATATAAAGGGACTTGTATCATTGTTATGATTACATAATTGAATATATTCTCTTTTATTCCTTGAATACTCTTGACATGGTATCAGAGCATAGGTTTGAACATTGCTCCTTGGCTCTCCTACTGGCACTCTCAGCCACCGATAACACTCTCTGGCATACCGCTATATTCAATCCGATTGATTGCTTCTTTGTTCCCTTACCTGTGACCATAATCACAAAAATACAACCACCAGTCTCTTCGTCTCTCCCAGACGATTCCAGAGCCACCAACCTCACCTCAAAAGGTCTCTTGTGCCCTCATGCGCCTCTTCTTTGCTGACACGTCGATCAAGATGCCACCGGTATTCTCACACGCTCTCATGCGCCTCTTCTCATCTGTTCACGCGGGACGCTTCTGTCTCTCTGTTGCAGTCTTCACTGGGGTCAGCCTTACACGCAACGCTTCTTACACGCCTCGTGACGTCAACCCTTGCTCTGCGTCACGCTGCTCCATCGCTAATGTCAGCCCTTGTGCCAACCTCCGCGCTAGCTTTGTTTTTCCGCATGCTGCCATCAGCTCTTCTGCGTGCCAGCCGGCTTTTGTCTTGGCCAGTTCACTCAAACTGGCCCAATTACTATTTTGGGCTGGTTCACCCTTTTCCAGACCAGTTTCAGGTGTGTTTGGACTGGTTCCCAATATTTTTTGGCCTTCTGATTCAGTGGTACCCTCTGTTTTTCTAGATTCTATTGTTCATTGCACTACTCTTTCTTGCATAAATGGACCACTCCGACCCTGCTCAACCAATTTCTGTGATCCTTGATGGTACCAATTATCTACTTTGGTCTCAAGCTATGTCTGCCTTTCTCAAAGGCCGACAATTATGGTGTGTTATTACTAGAGAACTGAAGAAACCAGTCCAAGCCATGGATGAAACTGATGCCAAATTCATTGATCGTGTTGATGCATGGGATGATAAAAACTATCGTATTATTACCTGGTTTCAAAACACCTCTACCACTTCCATTCAACTGTAGTTTGGGCGATTTCAAACTGATACTATCCCCACTCCTACTCTCTGTTATTAGAATCTTACGACTCGCGATTCGATTCGTAATTTTTGCAAAATCGATATGAATCTATGGGTGAATCTATTTTGCCAGTGAATCTCTAGTGAATCGCACGATTTACAATTGATTCACGATTCGATTCACTTTTTACAATTCATGCAATTCTTAAAATCATTATATCCGACATATTTTTGACTCATTTTTTCTCCATCTTTTTAGTGAAAATGACATAATACAATTTCTAATAGCGTTTTATACCAAAATAACTAACATATATACATGATTTGTTGTTATTTTACTGATCATTTTAACCTTTCTCGTTTTTTTTCCCCTTAAAAATGATAATATATCTTTTAAAGATGTTTAAGATTAAAGTAATTTACACCATGAATTATCAATTGCTATTTTATTAAATTAAATATAGTTGAATATTACATGAGTGAGGTTAGTTATACTTTTTATAATGTTTTAGGCTTTAAAATAAAATATCATAAATAATTTTTTCTTATTATTTGGTCATTGTTAATTAGAAAAGTATGTATCCTTATTGTCCAAATATCAATATTGTTAAATTATTGTTACTTTGGAGATTGAGGGTTTGTCATTATTTACTATCTTTATTAAGAAGGTTGATAAGAAATATCTAAAACGGGAAAAGTAAGATTGTGATCTTACATAAGAATTTTGTTAACTTCTTACTTATTAAACTATGTGATCATTATTCAAAACAACGCTTTCGTTGATTTAAGTCTAAATATTTCATATTCATAAGTTATATTTAACATCCAAGTGTATAGTTATATTTTCTAAGTAATTCAAAAAAGTGATTGAATCTTTACGATTCACGATTCGATTTGGTACGAGGCCATTTCGATTCGTGATTCGAATCCCGATTTGACAACTATGCTTATGCTAAATTCATATGGGACTCTCTCAAAGACTGATATTGCACTACTGGGCTTTCTTGTCGGTATCGGATTCGAACTAGTCTTCATGGTCAACGCCAGGCACCAGGTCAGTTTGTCAATGATTTCTTCTCATCTATGTACACTTTGTGGGTAGGGATGTAATCGGTCCGGTACGGTCGGTATTTAGGAAAATTTTCCACTGAACTGATGTCGATTTTATTATTTTGAGCACTGATACAGACCGTTTCTCCATCAAACCGCACCGAATTGCACCAATTGAAACCGTTCGGTATAGTCACTCATTTATGTAAAAATATTGAATTAGCCATTTGTCAACAATTTTAAACATATCTTATCCATCCATTAAATAAATATTTTACGATTTCTAGATTAACAAAAATACAAACAAAAACTAATAATAAATACTAAGGCTTTGTTTGGTTTGTATTTGAGAAACATGTTTTGAAATAAAAAGTACGAAAATTTATTTGGTTTGACTTTTTTTCAAAAGATGTTTTGAAAAATTATTTTGAGAGAGTTTTGAAAAAAGTTATTGATTTGATGTGTATGAGAGAGAGATTTGTTTGGAAAATTTGTAAACCAAATAAGTTTTGGAAAAAAATTTTGGAAAAATTTGTTTGGTTTGATTACTTTTGAAAACTTATTTGTAGAGAATTTTTCCCAAATTTTTTTGAGAAACACAAACCAAACAAGGCCTAAGATTTCAAGAATATAGTGAGTTAGAGTTAAGATTATATATAATAAGGGTATACTAACTTAGGTTATAGGGATGATAGGGTTAATTAATTGAGATTAATAATTTATTGTTCTTATTATATTATTAAATTATATATATATAAATATATTGTAAATACAACATATGTTGAAATGGTCGGTTTTGGTTTAGTTCGGTGCATAAGGTGCTTAAACCAATACCGAATTGAAAATCAAAGTAAGTCAAATTTAAAAACCGCACAGACCAATTTTTGTTAAAAAACAGACCAAATGCGGACGGCATGGTTCGGTTCAATCGGTTTGGTCGGTTTTTTCAGTTTTTCTTACATCCCTATTTGTGGGATCAATTTTCTATTTGTGAGCCTGTTTGGGTTGATGACAAAGATGTCCAATCCTTTGCTGCTTATTGAGATGAGGACCGCTTGGTTGAATTTTTTATGGCTCTTACTCTTGTTTTTGAGCCTGTCCGAACTTATCTATTGCATCGGGATCCATTACTTACTTTGGAACAAGCTGTGACTAAACTCTTGTTTGAGGAGACTCCTCTTGGTACTCTTAAGACCACTACTGATATTGTACTTGCTACCCCTCACATGCAGAATACCTTTGGCTCCTTCAATCAGATTTGTTAGTATTGTAAGAATTGCAGTCTCAACTTTACACATTCTCTTCTTCATTGTTCAGTTCGGGACTGTCGTATTTGTCACAAAATAGGACTTGGCCATTTTGAGAATCATTGTCTCCCTAAACAATCTCGGATCAATCAATCATTTGGGAATTTAAGGGAGGGTCACTACAAACCAAGGTCTCGGTATAAGCTTGCAACTCGGTCTGCTGCTGTTGTTGCTCCTATGGGTTCACCTCCTTTCGATCCATCTGCTCTATATTATTCTCAAAAAGATATGGAGGCCATGCTTCAATAGGCTCATTCTGGTAGCTCTCGTAACACTGCCCTATCTGTTACCTCAGGTATCTCTTGTTGGTTCTTTGACTCTGCATGTTGTAATCATATGACCTCTAATTCAACTGCTTTCTCCTCTTTTACTTCTTCGAACACTTTGCCTACTACTCATACTGCTAATGGCACTCACATGTCTATTAGTTGCATTGGTAGTGTCTTTACTCCCATTGTATCTCTCACTGATAGTTATCATATTCCTGCCCTTACTCTAAACGCTATCTTTGTTGGTCAACTTTGTGAACTTGGTTTAACTATTATTTTTTCATCATCTGGTTGTTAGGTACAGGATCCGCGGACAGGATAGACTATTGGGATCGGGCGTAAAACTGGTCGTTTGTTTGAGCTCATCAATCTCCATCTACCATCTTTTGCATCTACTCCTCCACAACACGTTGCATCCACTACTTTAATGATCTTTGACATTCTAGATTAGGGCATGTTTCTTTTGGTATGCTACATTCATTAGTATTTAGTGGCAATTTAGGCTCTGTTTCTTTTGATTCTAGTAATCATTGTCCATCATGTCAACTAGCTAAACAACCTGCTTTGTCTTTTTAATACAAGTGGTTTTGTTTCAAAATTTCCATTTGATTTGGTTCATTATGATGTTTGGGGTCTTTCTCCCAATACCACTGTGGGCTAGGAAGCACAAGTACAAGTACGATATGGGTACGTCGATACGACAAATTTAGAAAAAAAATAAGATATGAGTATGGCTGGGATACGCCAATTTTTTAATTTTTTTTTAATTTATAGCTAAACATCCAACATATAAATTAAAGTTCAATAA